CGATGGGGATGATGATTGAGGTTTTGAGGCAGGGTGGGACGGTGTTTAATGACAAGGAAAGGTTGAAGATTTTAGTGAAGACTCCGGTCAGTTCGTCAGCACATGCTCTGAGAACCTTTCCATGTATTCCATCAGGACCTGCCGCCTTCCTAGATGTGTCCTTGAACCAGCACAGCAGACTTAAATGGCTAAATTAGCTCCTCAACATGTTCTGCAGTTCTCCAGAGGCCTGGTAACGAATTAATCATGTGATTCAGCTGTGTTGACCCAAGGGGAGATCTAAAACCTGAAGACACCGACCCTCGAGGCCAACATTTGCTAAGGAGTTTAGGCGAGGAGGGAAGAGGCTGGGAACCTGGCAACTTGGTGCAGAGGTTTGCTGCAGAATTTTACAAAGGAGGGATGAGTGGCTGAGAGGCTGGCAACCCAGTGCCGACGATTGCTGCAGAGTTTAGCAGAGGAGGGATGAATGGCTGAGAGGCTGGCAACCCGGTGCCGACGTTTGCTGCAAAGTTTAGCAGAGGAGAGATGAGTGGCCGAGAACCTGGCAACTCGGTGCTGACGTTTGCTGCGAAGTTTAGCAGATGAGAGGTTGGGAACCTGGCAACTCGGTGTTGAGGTTTGCTGCAGAATTTTGCGAAGGAGGGTTGGGTGGCTGAGAACCTGGCAACCCGGTGCCAAGGTTTGCTTCAGAGTTTAGCGGATGAGAGGTTGGGAACCTGGCAACTCGGTGCTGAGGTTTGCTGCAGAATTTTGCAAAGGAGGGATGGGTGGCTGAGAACCTGGCAACCCGGTGCCGAGGTTTGCCGCAGAGTTTAGCAGAGGAGGGATGAGTGGCTGAGAACCTGGCAACTCGGTGCCGAGGTTTGCTGCGGAGTTTAGCAGAGGGATGAGAAGCTGGGAACCTGGCAACCCGGTGTGAGGTTTGCTGCAGATTTTTGCGAAGGAGAGATGGGTAGCTGAGAACCTGGAAACCCGGTGCCGAGGTTTGCCACAGAGTTTAGCAGAGGAGGGATGAGTGGCTGAGAACCTGGCAACTCGGTGCCGACGTTTACTGCGGAGTTTAGCAGAGGAATGAGAAGCTGGGAACCTGGCAACTCGGTGCTGAGGTTTGCTGCAGATTTTTGCGAAGGAGAGATGGGTGGCTGAGAACCTGGCAACCCGGTGCCGAGGTTTGCCACAGAGTTTAGCAGAGGAGGGATGAGTGGCTGAGAACCTGGCAACCCGGTGCCGAGGTTTGCCACAGAGTTTAGCAGAGGAGGGATGAGTGGCTGAGAACCTGGCAACTCGGTGCCAATGTTGGAGTTTAGCAGATGAGAGATGGGAACCTGGCAACTGGGTGCCGACGTTTGCTGCAGAGTTTGTTTGTTTTTTATGTGTGTGTCATCTTTCCTGAGAAACTTGCAGTTTGGTGGTAGGGAGCTTGCTGCTGCGTTTGCAAATGGCGGATAGGGAAGAACTGGGCATCCCAGTGCCAACTTGCGTAAGCATTT